ACCTCTCCGTCTTTCTGTTGTTCTATTTCTTTTTCCTTTTTGGGGTGGGCTTTTGATTTTGTGAAATCTTGTTATTTCTAGGTTTTCGGATCAGTTAGCTATACTTGCCCAAGGCATGGCAAGTAATCCCCCATCATCTGGTTCACAGGTATTGTGTTTCATGTTGGTGAAGAAAATGTTACGCCTTTTGTGAATTCTCTAGGAAACATTGTATATAGAAACAGAAATTTCACGTCATGGAAATTTTTTGTTGCCGTGTTATTCTACAAAGCCTCTTCACAAAACGCTCAAATATTGAACTTTTTTAAAATAAGCAATTTCGGCCAAAACACTAATAAATAAGCTCTTTACGAAACAAGCTAGTTAGTAGATTTGACAGTCAAACCTCTAAATGAAGTTCAATATCCTAGTTTTTACATCAATCCGCTAACATCCAAACGAGTCAGTATATAGTGAGTTAAGTTAGACATCTAAGTAGTAAACTCTGCCTGAATATATTCGGTTGGCTTATGACTATTCCTGCTTTCCTTTTATCTTATCTGGAATTAGTTTTATAAATGTAGGATGTTATGCATCTGTAAAGTTCACCCTTTTTTTTTATTTTTTATTATTTTTTTTTTTTAATGAATTGGTAATGTCATCACCTGGTTCTTGTTTATTTGTCATAGTGGCCACATCCTGTATCTGTATCTATGGCTCCTCAGAGTTTTATTCCTCCCTATCCTATGCAAGTACCGATGCAAGTACGTATAGCTTGTGCATACATTATATGTAACTATATCTTATTTCTACATCAATACTCTGTTGAGTTTTTATACTGATAGTTAATTTCACTATCGGCTTCTGTATGTTGCTCAGTTCCGTCCTGCAGGACAGACACCACAAGGACAGCTATTTATTTCTCCACAAGGTACTCAGCAATTTCATCCAGCTGGACAATCCCAAAATCTTGTCATGGCTCAAGGTCAAAATCAACCACCTCAGTTTTCTCAGCCTTTGCAACAGTTTATGCCACGGCCAGCACAGCCCGGCCATGCTGTACCTCCTCAATCAAGTATGCCTATGACAACAGGTGTTCCGCAGCCTCAACCCACTGGCCCGAGCCCAGGAGTTTCATTTTCGTCATCATATACTGTAAGAAATTGGCAAATTTTCTCTTGGCCCCTGGGGTGATTTTTGTTTTTGTTGATGAATTATTTTTATTTGCAGTATGCCCCATCTTCTTTTGGCTTGCCACAGAGTAGCATCAGCATGCCTTCTCAATTCCAGCATTCACCTCAGATCTCTACACCTCTTGGTCCCACTGGGACACAACAACCTTGGTTACACTCAGGTCAGAGTACGCCAGTTGTGGCGCCATTGCAGCAAGCATTTACTTCTAGTGCAACTGTACCCGTAAGCATTACACCTCTCTTGCTCTTTCAGATATAGATCCTGCTTAGTGCTTTTGGGTGTGTGTTTTTCTTCTCATTTCCTAATCATGAATGCCTTTAAGGAAAACTTTTGTCCGTGGCGCTTTGATTTGCTTTATTTAATTTTCACCTTTTTCAAACGTTTGTTACCTATTCGTACTCCGGAAGCACCATGTAGTTTCTTCATACATCAGTTCATTGAAGAATTGCATAAATTGTATGAATAAGATGCATCATTTTCAGCTCTGCCTCTACATCATTAATATAACCTGTTTTTGGTTGTTTCTAGTCTGCATGATTGTCTGCGCTCACTGCAGAAAGATGTGTATTAGGGAATCTAGAATAAATGATATGTTATTGAAAAGACATTAACATGAAATCAATAATTGGGAAAAGAGAGGGAGGCTAAAACATATAAGAGATAGAAGAGTGTGACAGAGAGGGCAGAGATGGGAGAGATGAAACCAACTTTTCATTTAGATAAAATATCTGTATTTTCTGCCATCAAGGGCTACACCAACGTTCAACAATTCTCATTTATATATATTTCTGATACTTTTCTCAAAAGAAAAAGAAATAGAGGTCATGTTGAACTAATATGTATATTCTCCTAGAAAGATCTTCATATTAAAGTGGCGTTACCTTTGGTTTTTTAATCATTCTGAAATTCCAGGCACATGAAGAGTGGTTTAGCACAGTCCGCATTAAGCGCCCATCGTGTGTCCATCTTTCTTAATTTCTTTCTTTCTTTCTTAGTTAGAAATTCGTTTTTACTAGCATTTTTATTATGATTTTTTGTTTTTTTGTTCTTGGAAAATGCTGATGCGGAGTTGCATTGATGTATTACCAAAATTTTTGAGAGGAATGCTTCTGTAACTCTATTATAAGTTCAGATGAAAAATTGAAGTTTCTTTTATCATGTTCTGCATGATAATACTATGATTTCCTGTATGCTACTGTCCTTTGGCAGTATATTTGACTCAGCCTTTTCTCTGGAAATATCTGTCAAATGTTTCAGGTTGTTAATGGTTCTAGTGCTGTGCAGACTGCTTCTGATTGGCAAGAATATGAGGCTGCTGATGGAAGAAGGTAATATTTTTCTTCAATTCAATTATAAAGACTTTCTTTCTACCTGCCTATGTAATGGACAATATCATCTGGGTTACAAATTGAACCTTTTGTGTACCTGATGTGCCATTATTTGACATAAAAAAAAAAGACTCGAGCAGGTGGAATTATGACTCTTATTTTACGAGTCTTAATGTGGGTCTTTGTGAATAGATTGTTCCATATTTACTTGCATGAACTCAATACTTCTGTTACCAAGAAGGGCTGATAACTTATTATCTTAAACGTATCTGCCCAGATACTATTACAACAAGATTACAAAGCAGTCCAGTTGGGAGAAGCCTGCTGAGTTGATGACTCCATTGGAGGTGAGCAATATCATGGAAGTGTTTCCAATAGATCTTGAGTAACATCTGTTTTTTCGGTGAATCACTGTCCCATTCTGCTCTAGTATTCCACGAGTACTGTCCTGTCATGTAGAAGTTGAAAGTTCTAGACTTGTTTAAATCGTTGGACATTGTTTTGTGTAGTATCGTTTATTTGCATGTCCTTCCACTGGTTTGTAGATGTCATGCCAAGTCAGGGGAATATAACGACTGCTCTTTGTCCTCACTTTGAAGGCGGTTTCACTTTCTCGAGGCAGGCAACAATTGCTATTTTTATTCCACGTGTAATTTTGGGATTTAATTTTCTGTGATGATCTCTAGATGCTGTTGTTGACTAGTATTGATTGCTCTGTATAAAGCTAATTTACTTTCGTAACTTAGCGAAAGCATACAGTGTATGCGTATTCTCCTGAGTCCCGATTTTTTGCTGCCTAATATTAACAGAACCGTATTTAATCTGTCAATTTTCTTGTTAAGGACTTGTTTTGTTCAGGTTTCCGTTTTGCCATAGTATTTGTTCATTTTATAAATATAGGTAGTTATTTCTCTGTTTTGTTCTTTATTTAGTGATGGTTTCTGATATAGTATGAGTTTTTATTTCATGCTGTGTTTTTCTTCATCCAGCATGCAGAGTTTGATCATGCTGCTTCTTAAAAATTTTAAATTTATGAATTATTTCTGATGTTAATTGTCTGTTCTTCTAAATTTTTGTCCCTATTGACACTATTACCACCACCTACTCTCACAGTTTTATAGAATCTAAATGTTTATTTTTACCTGGGTGTGGAAATTATAAATGCTATCGTCTTTTTGTTGATTTGATAGTATACTCTGTATCACTTGCCTGTATAATTGCGGTTCCCAAAGACATCTACAGGTACTGGCTCATGAACTAATAGTTACGCATATGAATTAAGTGTGCCAGATGAGAAATAATGATGCTGAATGCTGATGATTCTCGTGCTTTGACTGCTTCAGAAGTTCTATAATGAAAGGAGTTTTTTGCTATCTCATATTTCTAGTTTTTAATGTTTTGCTCCTGTGGTGCTGCTTGCCAGTTTTTGGATAATTGTTTATATGTTTGATTATCTTGTAGTACAACTAGCACGAGCTTTGATTCTTATCACCTCATCAATAATGGTGAACTAAGTTACTGTTGACAGTTTTATTGCAACCTTAAGCTCTAACATGTCTTGAAATGTATGATGATGGCATGTAGGATCTACTGTAAACTTTCTGATTTGGAATTTCCATGAACTGACATTTTCTGTTTTTTATCTTGTGTGGCAAATCTTTTGAAACATAAGTATAAAGGGAAAGAAGAAAGGTGATAGTAGAGTGAGAGTATACTTTTACCATTTTAATCTATATATTTTCATCTTTGTATTTCGACTTTTGCTGTGATCGAGAACTCATCTGACTGAAACTTTCTGCTTACAGAGAGTAAACGCATCCTCGATTTGGAAAGAATTCACTACTCCAGAGGGTAAAAAGTGAGTACCGTGAAATCCTGCATTTGAAGATTGATGATCTTGTGATTAACACAATGTAGTTTGAGATGTCTGTAATTTCCCATTTTCCCTTGAACTCTCATGAACTTTTGTAAAATAATCTCTAATGGGACTTCCTCAGGTATTATTACAACAAGGAGACGAAGCAATCTAAATGGACAATACCAGATGAGCTGAAGGTTTCTTTGGCTTTGATACCTAAATTTTAACTTCCATATAATTTCTCAACTGTTGAAACTTGAACGGATCTTGTGTATGTATTTCCAGTTGGCTCGTGAGCAGGCTGAAAAGGCTGCTGCTGGTGGAGGTCAATCATTAATGAGTGTTAATGTACCAACCGCTGCTAGTGGCACATCTTCTGAACAGCCATCTGGTACAGTGAACTTGGCCAGCTCCACCACATCAATAATAACTGGAGTGACTTCAAGTCCTGCCCCAGCAACATCCGTTGGTTCTGATGCTAATGCTCCTAATGTTACAATTTCTGAACCTGCTGCTGTGCCTGCATTACAGAATGCTACACCAGGTGCATTTGGGGTGTCTGTGGGAGTAAGAGTGGCTTCCTCCTCTTCTGAAGTTCCTGGAAGTTCTGGTGTTCCAGCTAAATCACCGAGCACTATTTCAACGGCAATGTATGGGATTCATTACCAGACGACTGTTGCATCTTTTGGTAATTTATACTGATGTTTTACTCCAAAATTTTCAGGGCTAGCACGGACTATCCATCGTCCCATGCTGGAGTTAGTCCTTTGGTTGGAGCTTCTATCCAGGATACTGAGGTATTCGTCTTTCTTTAAGGTCCTTATTCACAATTGAAATGTTAGCCAAAACAGTTACTATTCTACTCCTATTTACTACCCTGCCTTTTGCCCTCTGTTTTTCCTTCTCTTCTGAATTCTCTCTCTCTCTCTCTCTCTCTCTCTCTCTCTCTCTCTTTATATATATATATATCCTTTAGTCATTGAAGTACAATAGTGAATGTTAGTGCTTGGCTTTTGATTTATATGCAGGATGAAAATAAAGGAACAAGCCTTGGTGGAAAACCAAATGTTACACCAGCAGAAGAGAAAGCGATAGATGATGAAACCGTAGTATATGCTACCAAGCAGGTGATTATTTTAAAGTCATTTCTTCAGTTATTTTACACCTGTATTGCATAGTTCTAAATGGCGAATGGCGAGGCGATTCGCCCATGAATGGCGAGGCGATTCACCCGTGAAGGGCGAGGCGATTCTCCATGGCGAGGCCTCGGTAACACAAGCCATCAAAGTTTTTTAAAAAATGTTATATATAGTGATATCATATAATTAAGTTTAAGTGCAAATATTAACCTAAAATATCCTCAAAGAAAATAAAATAAATTAAATTTAAATGTAATTACTAATAGCATCTAAAATTTAAATGTAAATACTAACAGCATTACAAAGAAAAATATTTAATTTATGTTGTATAGTAATATAAATTTGAAAAAAATGTTAAAGCAAGTAAATAGAAAGTGTAATGTAAAAGTAAATGAAAGAACTACCTTTGCCTATTGACCATACTAGTAAACATAAATAAAGTAAAAAAAAATTAAGAAAGAGGAAAAAAGAAATAGAGGCAGGAAACCGCGAACGGGAAAACAGAGAAAAGTGGAAAGGAAAAAAAGAGTAAAAGGCAGGAGGCGGGAAATGGGATATGTTGGCCTTGGGGGTTTCTGAATTTTTCAATCTTAGAAGCTTAAGAATTTCATTTGCAGAAACCCTAGTTTGGGGAGGAGCTAGATTGTTCCTTTCCTTNATGTGCTATGATGGGGTGAAAGGCGCGCCTCTGCATTGCCTTTGGTGAGAGAGAGGCGTCATGAGGTGCTGTTAGGCGCCCGCCTCGGCGATCTTTCCTCAGCCTCGGTCGCCTCCCGCCACGGCATCGCCATTTTAAATTATGTGTATCGGAATATATGGATCTGATATCCTTTTGTTCAGGAAGCCAAAAGTGCATTCAAAGCATTATTAGAGTCTTCAAATGTTGAGGCTGATTGGACTTGGGACCAGGTAAATAGATCTGCAATGATCCAGTGAATCCTTTGAGGTGGCTATGTTTTGATTTATGATGCCATATCAGGCTATGAGAGTGATAATTAATGACAAAAGATATGGTGCTCTGAAAACCCTTGGTGAACGAAAGCAAGCTTTCAACGAGGTATTTCATATTAACTCCTGAGTTATATAACAATTTATCAGTTGTCTGCAGAGTTTAGAGTTCATTTACACTGTTTAGGAATGTTCCAGACTCTTATATTGATCTTTTTTGTATTAAAGTATTTGATGCAACGGAAAAAAGTGGAAGCTGAGGAGAGACGTCAGAGGCAGAGAAAAGCAAAGGAGGACTTTATGCAGATGCTAGAAGTAAGGATTAAGCCCCTTTTCAGTTCTTTTAAGTTGGCTAGTTCATCATATTTTACTTATATCTCTAAGCTTCGTGGGTAATTGGGGAGAGAAACCTTGAAATGATAAGCTTTCTATGAGTGATTGCCTTTACGACCAAACTTCACACCTCAACATTGGTCACATACAAATTTTACTCACTTTGCGTAGTTACATATTGATTTTTGATATTGTGCAGCCCACACTGAACAAGTTGTATTTGNTTTTTTTTTTTTAGATGTGCTGATTCATGAACTAATTAAGTTTTTGAATTTGCTGTCAGGAATCTGAAGAACTCACATCATCCACAAGATGGAGGTTGTTCACGCTCTCTTTTACTAAGAATGATGGTCTAGAATTTTTATTTTTTATTTTTTATATATATATGTATATTTATATTTTGCATTATCCAGCAAAGCAATTACAATGTTTGAAGACGATAAACGGTTCAAAGCTGTTGAGCTGGAAACAGACCGCGAGGATCTCTTTAGAAACCATTTAGTGGACTTGCATAAAAAGGTAGATGGTGCCATTATTTATGTTGGCTTTTCCTGATATCTTGTAATGATTTTTGCTTATTTGTACAGCGGATAACTTGTGGTTGTCAGTTGTCTAGATGTTAACCCAAGGGTTATATATATTGTTGTTCACTAAATAACATCTCCTGTTAGCATTTTGGTAAATTTTTCAACCGGTTAGAATTATTGATATGATATCACTATTGTGGGTCTGATGCAACTTTAAAAAAAGTAAATGCAGTGTAGGCGTATGAGTTGCTAAGCATATGGTCATACTACCTTTATTTGTGTAGTCTGATGTCCTTGTAGAAGTTTTGGCTTAACTGGTTAGTGAATTTAAAATTATGCTGTATCTGTTGTTTGTAGCCGTTGGTATTGAGCAGATGTTACAAAGGCTGTTTTCAGATTTATTTGTTTCCTCAACATATATCAATCCAAAGTAGCCCTCTTATATTCACCTGTTAAGATTTCTGGAATGATACATCGTGACTGTAATGTTTGAAGCCTGAGGATTTTCTTTTGTGCTGTTCAGGAGAAGGCAAAGGCTCAAGAGGAGTACCGGCGGAATAGGCAGGAATTTAGGCAATTTCTTGAATCATGTTCATTTATCAAGGTATTTTTTTGTTTATTTTTGCAATCTTTTGTTCTAAATGTCTTATTATCTTTTGTTAGAAGTGCCTGATAATTTGTAATTATTTTCTTAATAATTATTAGGTGGATAGCCAATGGCGTAAGATTCAGGATCAACTGGAAGATGACGAAAGATGCACCCGCCTTGATAAAATAGATCGGCTGGATATTTTTCAGGTCAGGTGCACATACATGTTAGGAAGTCTTCAATACACTTTTAGGGTCTTTAGCTACTGAATGTTATGTCCTTTTGTTTACCTCCTCTTTCATGTCACCTCGCTTTGGATGAAGTGATGATGGTTGAGATGAAGGTTCCTATTTGTGAGCCTGTAGCCTCTAGAGGACTAGGTAAATTTGTGCATTATTGTTGATATTTATTTGCTGTTGCTGCAGGATTATATCCGTGACTTGGAGAAGGAAGAGGATGAGCTGAAGAAGAGGCAAAAGGTATTTCTCTGGGCAACTTCGTAGTTAGTTCAATCTTAATTCCATTTCGTGGTGTTTGACTTGTTCTTTTGCACATCAAGGAACAATTGAGACGCACTGAGCGAAAAAATCGCGATGCATTTCGCAAGATGATGGAAGAGCACATTGCTGATGGCACTCTTACTGCTAAAACCCACTGGCGCGATTATTGCCAGAAAGTATATCTCCTTCTTTCTATCCCTGGTCAAACACACTACTTCTGCCTGTTATAAATTTGTGAAAGATGGCTGGGCTATGGCAGCGCCACCGCTAAAGCGGGTTTTTTTTCCTGTGGCTATGTTCCGCCATCCGCCATCGATAACAATGTTCTCAACCAATCCATTGCTGATTGTTTCCTTTTTTTTTTAATGATGATTGATGCTTGCTTGGTTTATATTATTGTTTTCCTTTTTTTTTTGTTCTATTAACATTGTAGGTCAAGGACAATGATGCATATGAGGCTGTTGCCTCAAATATTTCTGGTTCCACCCCTAAAGATTTGTTTGAGGATGTTGCGGAAGAATTGGAGAAAAAGGTATATATGTAGAAAGCACTTTCCTATTCTAGAAGGGTTGGCAGCCAAACTTGTTTACTTTTAGCATCAAAATTAATATGGCAGATCAATTTCCTTAACTTTAGCTCATTGATCACTTTATAATATATATATATATATATATGTGTGTGTGTGTGTGTGTGTGTGTGTGTGTTATATTATATTTTATTTTTTGTTTGAGTGGTGAGGATGCAGGTTGGACAGTTTTATGCATCTATTATGTGGTAGTTGTTTATAGCCCAGGACATTCACTCGACAAAATCGTGCAACTAATTCCTTTTGGCTTATCTGTCGTGATAGGTCGAATGTCAATATTGTTTACAAATGCTGTTATTTATGTGAATATGATACAACATTTAATGCTTAAGCTCTCCCTCCCTCCCTGTCTCTCTCTCTCTCTTTCTCCTTTTACATATGCAATTTTGAGATGAGAAATAGCTGGTGAATGACTTTATAAATTCCACTGACATGCTCTCATTGTATGATAGTACGACGAAGATAAAGCACACATAAAGGATGCTTTGAAGCAGGAAAAGGTAGGATTATCCGACTTTTAATTTCCTCCATTGAAGCTTTAGATTTTTTGCATTTTGAACCTAAATGTGTTCCATATTTTTGTTCTTAGATTACAGTTGCACCAACGTGGAACTTTGAAGACTTTAAGTCTTCAATTGAAGAGAGCGTTGGCAGCCTCTCGATATCTGATATCAATTTGCAGGTACTAATTATTATCCTCTCTCCTAAACAATGGTGTCTAAGGTTTGCTTTAGATGCATGTGGAATTGTTCTCGAACTTTATCTTCGAAAATTATCAAAAGCAGTATAGATGGATCATGAGTTACTACTTTTCCTGTATGTTAAAGCACATATGCCTTTTGCAAATAGTTTTCCTGGTGAGTTTTCTTGTTATTGAAATTGAAAGAGTAAACGTTAGATTACAAGTTCTTTTAGAAGTTTCAAGCTTAAGCGTGGGACCGAAAAGTTCTGTTAATACTCTAGCAGTAGATGCTAGAAAAATCTATAAGTTGGCTGTTGCATTACTATTCCTCAGTCATGTTTTTGGAGTGAAATTGCAGCTTGTATACGAGGATCTAATTGATCGCGCTAAAGAGAAACAAGAGAAAGAGGCGAAGAAGCGTAAACGTCTGGCCAAGGATTTCACTGATAAACTGAGCACCGTTAAGGTATGAGGATGAAAGAGTAATTAACACCTATTCATGGTTGTTGCTGAAGTTCTCTTAAGAAAAATGTGTTTACTTCATTCAGGAAATAACTGTTATGTCTACTTGGGATGAATGCAAAGAACTTGTCGAGGACAGTTCAGAGTACAGGTAAAAAAAAAAAAAATTCCATTTGCAGAAAGACATCGATTGTGATCAATTTTCCAAATTGTTATTATCCAGTATACTGGAAGTTCTTTTCAGTGACCCTTCTGATTTATTTTCTAGGTCCTTGGGAGATGAAAGCTTGTGCAGGGAGATATTTGATGAATATATATCTCGCTTACAAGAGAAAGCAAAGGAAAAGGATCGCAAGCGGGAAGATGAAAAGGTCAGTCACCAAAAAAAAATAAAACGTTCATATTGCGGTTATTAAACTACTATATTCTGTAGTATCCACATCATTGTCTTTTCCAAGTGGTCTGCAAGTGTTTCAATCACTTTGTTCCTAATGATATTATTCTTTTGCAGGCCAAAAAGGAGAAAGAACGAGAGGAAAAAGAAAAGAGAAAGGACAAAGATAGAAGAGAGAAAGAGAGGGAGAAGGAGAAAGAAAAGGACAGAGACAGGGACTGGGATCGTGAGAGAGAGAAGAAAGATGGTTCAAGAAAGGATGAAGATGTCGATAATACGGACAATTTGGAAAGTTACGGCCACAAAGACGAGAAAAGAAGGGAAAAGGATCGAGACAGAAAACATAGGAAGCGCCGTCAGAGCTCGGTTGATGATGCGAGTTCTGACAGAGATGACAAAGAGGAGACCAAAAAGTCCAGACGACATGGCAGTGACCGTAAAAAGTCAAGAAAGGTACTTCCAATCTTGATTTAATAAGTTATTGTCCTCGTGAGAAGTAATCATGAATGCTACCCCTCTTGAGATTTTTTGCCCGATTACTAGAAATTCTTAGTATCTTTCAAAATTATAAATACCCTTAATCACACCCGGATTGCCAAGTAATAAATATATATGTGTGTGTGGTAGCATTTATAGATTTATTTTTGTAGCACCTTTAAATGTTATGCATTAGTCAAAAAAATTTTAATAAAAAAATCTTACTTTTTTTTGTTTTTGTTTGTTTGTACAAAGTAACAAAGTTCCATTCTAACTTAGGTGCCTCGTCACCATCCTCACGTGTCCTATAAAGTTTATGTGCTAACAGTCAACAGTACCCCCCTTATTTTTCGGTGCAGTTTGTAAAATAGATTTTTATTTTTTAAAAATAATCTCTCCTTTGGGCAATTGGATCGACTCAAATAATCTGACGTCTCTTTTTCCCCTTTCTCCTTTTTAGCATGTATATTCGCCTGAATCAGATAGCGACAGTAAGCACAAGCGAAACAAAAGGGACCACCGAAAAAGTGGTGGTCATGAGGAGCTTGAAGATGGTGAGCTTGGTGAAGATGGTGAGATCCAATAGTTGTGTTTTTCCCTCTTCATCGATATATGTTGGGCTAAATAACTTGAAGTTGTGTTTTGGATCTCTGCTGTGAATGTGGTCTCTAGACTTTATACACTACCTAAAGATGAGTACTGAGATTTCTGATGGTGGTGTTTTTATTCAGTCTTGAGGTTGAAAGCAATCATGATACCCCTTCAGAATGCCTTCTTTATTTGGGGAAAGAATAAGAATGGTGAATTTAAGTTCCTTGAATTTTTTTTTTTCAAGAGAGAAAAAAGGAAAAAGAAGAAAAGAGAAAGAAAAGGAAAAAAAGAAAAGAAAAAAAAAAAGTTCTTTGAAGTTGAAGATGATGTTTCAAAGGCAACCTAATTTTTATCTTAGTGAATAATGCTTATATGATAAGAAAGTACTCCCACTAAGGATGGTACAGAATTTTAGACGAGGTTTGATCTTTTGAGGCCAATTTTTTGTGTTTAAGGTGGGATTGATATTTTCTCTTTTATTTGTTGATGATTTTGAATGTTGTTCAAGTATGATCGCCAGGAAAAGATATCAAGAATCCAAATTAAATAAATTAATAAACGGAATGTCTACCATGCTTTCGGTCATGCAAGTGGTTTTAATAGTGTTTCCAATATGCATTTGTTGTTACGAATAAGTTAACCCGCCTAACAATCATGCCCCATCACATAAGAATTTGTGATAAACGCAAAAGCAAACATTACAAGTATCCAACCCGCCAACTGGGAATGAATTTCCATGTTATTGATTCAACATTTAGATCGAAAAAATTGGTCTCGATATTAGATTTTGCAGATTTGTAATAATCTTCATTTGATCGGATAAAATTAGCTAACTTCAAAACATAATTAAACCATATAATGATTTAATTAAAGATTATTGTCCCAAGCTCAAAAATCATCCAAACAGAAAATCACAGCGGTTAAACGGACAAAGAATGTATGATGTTCATTTTTTTTTTAAAAAAAAAATATTATTGGTTATTTCTAATAAAGAGAACTTACTGTTTGGGCCACAAAGAAGTCTCCATTCAACTGCTCACCTGCAAACACACAATTCCTCCATTGCAAGTTGCTCACAAGAAATGATGAACGATGTCTACAGGTATTTGATGAAAATTGTGGCTTTTCTCTATTTAAAGATATATGTACAGAATGAGGAACAAATTGAGATGAATCAATATCCTGTCTTTATCCGATTATGCAATTGTTACAGCTAGTTTATGTATTGTATGTGAATCCACTAGATATTTTGTTGGTTCAATGATTTAGTGTAAATTAAAGTATATGCAACGAAATAGTGACGTCAACTGAGAGACTTGAAACTTGCATTTTCATTCGAAGCGTTTTCATTTCCTCATTATGGTGTGTGGTATTGAACGTCATCCAATCCGCTCTCGACCAGTTCAAAATCTGCAAAACAACATCGGGAGTTGTCCCAACAGAGAAGCTTGTGGCTCATGTCAGTGTTTGATGGAGATTGGAGAAGGTGATGTAGACAAAGCATGTAAGTATAAAACGCTTAGAGTGTGTAAAGTCTGAACGATCATATCTCACCCCTTTATTTAAGGATGTTACTTTGCTGCCAAAAACTGCCCGACTAGGCTGCCAGTGTGTCCAAGCTACCCGTTCATACTGCTTGGGTCCCCAAACTTCCAAATTATGTTAGGTCACATGGTCCTATCCACGTGTCCTTCTTATCTATTATGAGTTTTGTTCACATAAGTCTACCTCATTAGATGGTCGAATCATGCTATCAGTTTTGTTTTCTTGAACTAGGTTGCACCAACCTTCAGCGAATAGGCTTATCTCGTAGGTCGCACATCGACCTGCAGGCCTCCAAGTCGAGTTTTCATCAGACTATCCAAGAACCCCAGCTCGACCTATTGGCAAGCTATCTTGTCTATGAGGTCGACCTGGTGATTCCACGACCTCTGATGTCTGACCGACCTGTCGGTCCACCTGAACTGGTCGAACTGTCCTTTAGGTCGTACTCAACCTGGTTTGGTATCCCCTATCATCTAGTCTCCTCACTCTGGTCGAGTTGAGGTAAACTCGAGCTAAGAGTAGAACTAATTATCCTTAGTTATATTTCTTGAGCTTGCGACCTATTTGACAGACCCGTTAGTTAACTCAACCTTTTTTTTTTTTTGTTTTTTAGTCCAATTAACTAGCTCGACCTTATGACTAGGTCTTAAATTCAAAATTCAAATTTAAATTACCGATGTCCTTTCAAATCAGTCTGACGTCCTTTCAACTCACCTGACATCCTTTCTCAAACAACATGCCCATTAATGTTGCTTTAGAGCACCCCCATCGGGGTCATTATTTTGGCGTTTAAACGCACCAAGGCCGTTCAACAAGGATGCAAGCCATTCATTTAAAGGTGGGGTCCCTTGTCCGTTCAATGTAATGAACGGTACCTTTAGTGCTTTTATTATTTTTTTAATTTTTTTTGTTTTCATTTATAATTATTTAATCAATTTGTTTTATACATGAATGGATAGTAGGTCCCATTTATGTATTTAAATGAATGTGTAGGGATGTGGGTGTGTGTTTAAATGAAGAGAGAATTAGTGGAAAGATGATGTGGAGATGATGTGGATGCGAGAGAGTGTAACTTTTTGATTGAATAAATGGAAAAAAAAAATTAACTAATGTGGATGCTCTTAGTCCTATATCCTCCCGTTTTGCTTTTATCGGAGAGTCGTGTCCCTTAATTTCAAGTTGCATTGAACTGTCCTACTTGACCACCTCTCTACCTTTTAAATTTCTCATCATGTTCGTCCATTCCATCTTCATCGGACGGTTAGGATTGATCGACCTCTTGAAATTCTCCACTTTCTCCAATAAATACCACCCCTTCGCCTCATTTCCTCTTTTTCACCCTTGCAAAAGTCTTTCTGCTATATACTTTGTTGCCGAAATTTCTGTTTTCCTTGCCGCTGATCCGCCACCGACCCCCGTAGTGTATCTTGCAATCACCAGACTATTTTCAATTCATTCACGTCAATAACTAAAAAAAAAAAAAATTAAATTTCGCTATTACAACATAACATATGCATTTATATATAATATAAAATATTCGAGAAAAATTATCCGATAAGAAAAGAAAATAATATTAGATTAACTAAACATACTAGCTATTTTAACATCTCGAGTTATATTAACTATTCATCAACATAAAATATATAACATTATTGTAATTTAGGATATCCATTACTAGCATTTTGGAATTTGGAAATTTGGAATGCTATCTTATTCAATGATGGCGTAAATTTTGCAAACTGTTTAAATAAAATAAAATACTTGAAAAACAATATACTTTCTTTTACAACGATGTTCCAACTTTTCGAACTTTTATTGATTTGATGGGATTGCGTATAATTTACCTATCCACGCCGACAATTTATTTTACTATTATTTTATTTTGAAAAATATTAATCCGGTTGATCTCCTTGGCCACATACAATGATTTTCGCGCGCGATGACAATGTTCCAACTTAACATGCAAATTTGAAAAGTGGCAAAGTGGATTTTGGATGATTATACAACTTTAAAACTTTTAAAAAAGGAATTCATGTATATAAGAGTGACCATGAATTTTCATTAAGGTGATGTTCAGACCTTATCTATATTTTTAATATGAGTTTGTTCTAATTTATAGTATTTTATTGTGTAATAAAAATAAAATTTTATCTTCGAGTCATATTTAGCCATTAAATTTTCGATTTTCTACCATTATTGTAGATTAATCTTAATATTAACATATAAAATAAGTTAGATATATTATTTTACTCGTATTCTATTATTTGTATTGTTATTTTGTTATATTTGGAATGATACATATTGAAATTGTTAATTTGTGTTTCTTTAAACTCTAATGAACTATGCATTTTGTTATTTTGTAACATTTTCATTCATTTAAGGTAGTTGAATATATATTTTTATCTAAAACAAATTTTGGTACCACTCGGACAATTAAATTATAATTTTTTGATATTTATTAATATATCTTTTAAAAATAAAACATCTCAAAATAAGTAAAATACAAACAACATCTACAACATTTAACAAAAGATTGTAGATCATCAATAGTACAACTCCAATATAACATGGTACTGTTCATATACTAGAGTTGTATAAAATATAGCGCCACAAAAAGAAGCCACCATGATATGTGACGGTTATAGCTTATATATATGACATGAATTTTATTCGGGCTCCCGATTCTATAATCTAGTAGAGGCAGCTTTCTAGATTTGCAAAATCTTCTGTACATGTGAACTTGTAATTATCCATCCATTTGGCCGGTACGTATGATATTTTATGGAATCATTAAGCACTGTTGATAGATATGGGGAGAATATTGGGAGATATATAAACACAAATTAAAGCCGGAGTAATCATGTAACACTGTGTTTAAAGTGTTTCATTTCACATTAGAACTCTTTTATAAATTGTTCTTTGGAAGTGTCTCATTATCCCTTTTTTTTTTTTTCTTTCTTTTTAACGAAACGATAGATTAAATAACTAAATCAAATTTAAAATGTCCAAAGGTGATATGAAATATCATACTAAATCGGTTTTAATAAATAAGAAGGAATATATTGAAGAATAAGTCAATACATGGGTTAGAACACATGACATAATGGAATTGGTCAAGTCCAACTTGGGCACTAACGTACACCATTCCTATAAAAGGGGCCTAAACAGTGGTGGATCCACGTTTAAGTTAGGAGGGGCATGGTTCCCCCCAAATTTTTAATTATTTACTACCTATATATATATACATATTGTAAGTATATTATCATTTTTTATCTTTTACTACATAAATATATATTTATAAGTATATTCAATTTATACCTACATTCATAATTATTACTAATTATTGTATTGCTCTGTCTATTAGTTATTTCTATGTACATTATATTTTTGTAAGTAAATTTTCACTATCCATCTATAATATTTGGTGTTTCTTATTTGTAATTTATGATTTAATAAACTGAATGTATGAGATATGTGACATCTTAATAAAAAAATTGAAACAATAGAGCACGCAAGATATGCAAATTTATGGGATCGAAAAATAATCGCAAGAACTATTAACACCGAGTCAATTGTTAATGAGTCTCGTGAAGTGAAATAATATTAAACACAATTTTAGAATACCAAAGTCCATAAGTTATATATTTTGTACAAATTTTTTTATTTATTTTATCTATTTAATATAAAATGAAATTGTATGTATGTGTGTGTTATAAATATTATATATCATCTCTAAAGGTGTTATTTAAGTCGAGACAAGCTAAAATATCTCATGTTCAAACTCGTGTTTGATTAATAAATGAGTCAGCTCAGCTTGACTCATTTAATAAACAAGTAAGACCCGACTCAGTTAATACACAAAGTCAATTTAGTGTCTAAAAAATTAGTTTGTTTAAGTATAAGAATAAGCTGAGCTCGAGTTTTTGTTAGTCAGACCGAGTTGTGTTTGCAAACAGTTTTATTCGATTTACAGCTCTAGTCCCCCCTCAACTGGGCCTAAGGTATCCAAAAAAGTCACTCTCTCTATATTCATTACTTTACTCTCATATTACGCTCCTTATCACTGGCGAGTGCTAACTTAGGCATCGGAGGCTTGACGTCGTGACCCTTCCGACGTTGAGTTCTTGTTGGTACGGAGGCCGTCCGAGTTGAATGAGCCCGGGTGAAGTCCATTTCACCAACATTGCCGCCGTCTGTAGGAACGTTCGAAAAGCAAAAAAATCGACCGTGGCAAACGGAGTTTCGACCGAAAAACT